AGCTCAGACATTGCGATCAACCGCCGATCGCTAGCAAGGGGCGGGAATTTGCTGGGCGGGGACCAGGAAGGAGATGATAGGGGCGGGGCTATCGCAAGTCCCTCTTAGCCCGGAAGGACGGGGCTCTCCCGAGCCCCCAGAACACAGCAGTTGGCGCTCTCCTGGCTGCCCAGGCTTCTCCGCTCAGCTCCCGGCCCGCCCGACCTGGCATTCCCAGGCCAGTGCTCCTCTATTTGCCGACTCCTTGCCCGAATTCTACAGTCTGTCTTGTGAATGGTGACACCCCCCCCCCCCCCAAGTCTCCCTTCTGCTCCTCTCCCAGTATCCCCTCCTGGTAAGCAGTGGAGGCCATGTAGGTAGGCCACATTCTCTAACTCAGAGGACCCCACTGCCCAAACAAGACAGAACTCAGCTCCACTCAGCCCAGCTCCACATTGAGTCCTGGTGCTGATTTCAGGAGCACCAGAGGGCTCTTACCTTTAGAACCAAGCGTGGAAGGTTCCCATATGAAAAACTACCAATTTGGGAAGACCCCAAATCTGAGGGTGCTTTCCTGGGGCAGGGAGACGGTCCAAGGATTTGAACAGCCTAAACTGTTTGGATTCTGGCCAACATTGCTCTGCCTAGGCTGCCCCACAAGCCTAGATAGTCTTTCTCTGGCTTGGGCCTGGGCTCCTGTGATCCCAAAGAGAAGGCAGAGTGGCCAGTGAGGCAGCCTTGACGTTTGGAAGAGCAGAGTACCTGCAGGACTGGCCCTCAACAAGGTCTGCCCTAGAGAGCAAAGGTCCCCCAGGGCTGTTTGCCCATCCAGCCCTCTGGCACCATCTTCCTCTTTTGGTGGTGGTGATGTGAGCACTGCTGGCCCCTTAAGGTAGCTCTGTGGCCTCAGGCTCCCCTGGAGGCCCTCCTTGCTTGGAAACTCCTAATTAAAGTGCATGGAGAAGTGAAAAACAAGCAGCCAGGGACAGGCCCTGCCTGGGAGGCTGCCCAGAGAAGAGGGATATATGGGCTGGCTGAGAGTGAGCAGCCAAGGGGAGGGCCAGAAAGGGTCGATGCTCTGCCCCTCAGGCCACTGACCGATGCTCTTAGGACAGTTACAACTTTGGACTGAACTGTGGCCAACATCGGTCTCAGGAACACCCCTCTTGCCTTGATAAGAGTGCAGCCCGGAATGTCCCTGGTTCTTTGGACCCCTAGGGTGCAAGATCTCAATTCCAGGGATCCCCTGAGTCCAGCCCTTCCCCCTTCAGGACACGAAGTCCCAGCCAACGGGCAGCTTTAGTTCGGGCTGCAGCTGTGAGTTCGGCAAGGGGGTGGGTGGGGATTGGCTCTAGCAGAGTAGTGGCTTCTCCCTAGCAAGCACACCACCCCTTAGGGTCTTTCCCTAGGCAGAGGTGGGGCCTGTTGATGATGGAAGGCCCCCATCCTCATAACATTGCCCTACAGCCTCTGTGCTGAATGAGCTGTTCTTGCACCCATTAGGAAACCAGGTGAGGTCTAGAAGAACTAACATGTCCCCCAAGATACTGCAGTGAAGGACATTGAGGGCTGCCATTCAACTTGGGCTGAGAACACCTCCATCTGTTTGTGGGGGGTCTCCCTGCCTGAGTTACTCAGCAGTCTGAGTAATTACTGCCTGACAAGAAGGCAGGCACAGTGCACCCCCACGTTACACCACAACACCCGCCTACAGTCACCCCCACCCCCTGGCTGGACTCCAAAGCAGCATCCAGCCCTCCTGAGGCCTGAAATAACTCTGCTTCTCACACTCACGCCCAGCCCCAGCCAACTTTGCCTAAGATGCTAGAGTTTGTGGGGCAAGGGGGTTATGGGGAGGCAGCTCATGGAGTTGGAAGGAGGATTAGCATACCCTGATTCAGGCCTACACTTTGGCACTGATCTGCTCTGTGACATTGAGCAAGTCGTTCAGACTCCCTGAGCCTCAGTTAACTCATGGAGAGCCTCTGCAGTGCCCAGTGCCTTAAGTTCAGCTTTAATGTCTGCCTGGCAGGGCTCAGGCAGGGTGTGAGGTCAGTCCAGCCCTGCAGCTGGTCAAAGCTAAGAGAATGCCTCACCTTCAGTTCATCCCAAGATGGACCAATCTTTTTTTATTTTTTTAAAGTTTATTTTGAGAGCGAGAGAGAGCAAGAGAGAGCACATGTGAGCAGAGGAGGGGCCAAAAGAGAGGGAGAGAGACTCCCAAGCAGGTTCCACACTGTCAGTGTGGAGCCCAACATGGGGCTCGAACTCATGAACTGTGAGATCATGACCTGAGCTGAAGCCAAGAGTCAGACGCTTAACCGACTGAGCCACCCAGGCACCCCCATGATGGACCAATCTTCTTAATCTTCAGACCAGAGTTACTTTTTCCACTACCAAGCATTTGCACATTCTCTTCTGCCTGGAATGTCCTTTTTCCTTCTCCGCCCTCAAGACCCAACCTAAATGGCATCTCTTTAGTGAAGATTTCCTTGATGGTCCTTCACCCCCTTACAAAGCTAGCAGAGCCCCCTCCCACACTTGATGTCTCCTCGTCATATTCTAAGATGGCTTGTGGGTCTTTCTTCCTAAACTATGCCATAAGCTTCTGGAAGTCCATATCTATGTAGTTAGCTCAAATACAGAGCCTGGGTGCCATTGAATGCATGTGTGAATGAATGATACTGGCCTTCTTTTGAACCTTCCTATCATACCAAGTTTTTCTCCATGGAATCACAACTCATTCTCACTTCAGTTAGCTCTCTTAGACATCACCTGCTCAAAGCAGCACTCCCTGACCCCCTCATATCAACTCTGTACTATATCCTGCTTTTTCTTCCAAGCACTGCCTGATCTCGACTTTTTTCATTTGCTCCCTATTAACTATAAACTCCACAAAGGCAGGGACCTTGTCTTTTCCATTGGCTGAATCCCTAGGAATAGTAGTGTCCCACAGGATAGACCCTCAATAAATGTGTATTGAATGAGTGACTTAGCCCACTTTTTCCTTTCCTAGGACCCCTCTTATCCCAGGCCAGTAGGGGGTGCCGCCTCCACCCAGGATCTCTCCAGGCCTGAACCTTCTCAGCTCAACTCAACTGGCCCCCCATGGGGCCAGCTTTCTAGGCGGTGCCTCCACCATCTTTCAGGAAGCCCCGGGCGGGGTCTGTGTAGACTGAAGGAGACCAGGGAACCCCCTAGGCGGGGATAGCCTACTTGAGCCCCACTTTGGTTCTTCTCTTTCTCTAGGATTTACAACTGGGCCTCACTGAATGCTTGCTGAATGGACTAGACCAGCCTGGGCGTTCGCCACACCTCCCCCCGCCAAAAGAATAGTATCGGGGGACGGTGGATGTGAAGCGGCTGGGTCCGCGGGAGCTGTCCTGGGCGAGGAGGAGCCGTCGAGCCTCCGAGAAGCAAGCGGAGCCGGCTAGAGAGGATATGGGCAGGGGTGCTGACTTGTGACTGGGGTCTCATGGCGGTTGTCTTCCTGCCCCAGCTGGTGGGCAGAGCGCACGCTTCCAGCCGCCTGTCTCGGTGACCTCCAGCCGGGAAGGGCGAGCGGGCGGGGGTTGGGCTGCGGGTGCGAGCTCCGGGAAGCCCGAGGGGCCCGGGAGGGGCTTTCGAGTGACCCGACGGCCGGCCCGGGGCTGGGGCAGGTACTTGGACCAACGCGGGCCAAGGATCGTCCCCGGGGGCGGGCGCCGCGAAAACACCTTGGGAGGCGGCGCCGTGCGGCTGAGCGCCGCTGCCCTGGGAATAGGACGGCGCTCGGCACCGCGAGCTGAGAGCACTTTCATAAATTTTGTATGGGAGGCGCTCCGTGAGCGGGGGCGGGGAGCGGAGCGAGAGGGAGGGAGCTAGCGAGCGAGCGAGGGAAGGAGGGAGGGAGGAGGAAAGGTGGGGGAAGCCGGGGGGTTGGGGGGAGGAAGGGAGGCGCCCCGCTCCGCCGATCACCGGGTCCTGCAAACGCGCGCCGGGCGCTTTCCCCGGAGCTCGGCGGTGCGTGCGAGCGCCCTTTTGCAGCAGCCGCGGCGGCGGCGGCGGCCCGAGGGGGCGGAAAGGAGGGGGCCGCAGCCCGGCGGCCGGGCGGCCGGGGGGCGGCGTCCCCTCTCAAAACCGCCTGCAAAGAGCTCGGGGCTGCAGAGGCAGGCCGCCGGCTCCGCGGAGCAAGCCGCTTGTCCCGGGGCTGAACGAGCGCGCCGGGCTGCCAGGCAGCGCCGCGGTTGCTAGTGGGCGCCGGTGCCCTCGGCGCGGGGCTCGGGCTCACCATGCCCCTGAGGGGCCTGGCTGCCGGGCACAAGCGGATCCCCGGCTTGCCCCCGCCTCGACGCGCTCGGATTAGCTGCAGCCGGCGCCCAAGGATTTGAATCCGGACTCCGGGAGGGAGCGCGCCTAGGCCGACCTCGGAGTGGCGGCCCCACGGCCAACATGCTTCGCAAAGGTGAGTTGGAGCTGAAGGGGCAAGTTGGAGTTGAGTGTGCACGGGACAGAGCCGCGAGGCTGGGAGCCGCCTGAGAGCTGCCCGGCGCCGGGGCTCCTGGCCGGGGAAGCAGCCCCTGGCGGGCTGGCGGGCTTTGCGGGGACGCACCTGCGGAGGGGTTGCTGCTGGAGCTCAAGCCCCTGTCGGTGACCAGTTGCGAGACACGGGATTTGCTCCGTGGATCTAGCGGCCAGGCCTAGGGATCTGGCTCGGCGAGGTCATTTAGAGACCACAGTGAGCTGCCCATGATGGAAGGGGAGGTGGCCTTCTGGGACCTTTGCTTTGCCATTATAAAGTTTTGCAGTTGCAGGCTCCATCCCCTGCGCGGGCACATGCTGCCAGTTCTGCCGCTTTGACCGTGCCGGGTGTAGCCCGCGCTCCAGTGCGGCCAGCGGTCAGTGACCGCGGGCCCGGGCGCTCACTGCGCGCCCTTGCTTCTCAGGCGGGGCCCGGACACGGGCACCTTTCCTGCAGTCTGCTTTGGTCCTCAGGGACGGGCTCTGGGTACCCAGCAGCCGAGGGAAGGTGGCCAGCGCCTGATGTCCGGTTCTTCAAAGTTTCCTCTCTGACTGGAGCAGAAAAAAGCGAAGGCGGGGGGCAGCGCGGGTTGCGGGGGGCAGCGCGGGTTGCGTGCGCGGCAGGTGCCAGGCTCAACTTGAGGGGAGCTGGCCCCGCGCGACCACCTAACCACGACCCTCCCTCTCCCTCCGCCGCCCGGCTCATTGCAGAGCGTTGCAAAGTTGGCGCGGGTGCTGGGGAAGTCCCGCCGCGCCCCCACGTGGCTGCCGCGCGGGGAGCTGTCCCCAGGGCCCAGGGAGGGCAGGTGACCACGCCGTGAGCCCGCAAGCCCCGTCTCCAGCTACCCCGGCCTCTGCGTCTGCCTCCCTCCCTTTCCAGGTCCGGGCGAACTGCGGCGCTCCGCCGGGACCCTCTCGTCCCTGGACCCGGCCGGGTGGCCGGCGAGTCTCGGCGCCTGTGTCTGGCGACCCGGGCCCTGCGGGAGCCGGTTGAGGCGAGAGCTCAGGTAGCTGAGGGGCCTGATCCCTGCGCTCAGCGCTCCTGCCTTAATCCGCCCCTGTTTCCATGGCAACAGACCGAGGTGTCGTAAGCACAGGATTCTGACCTCACAGTAGGATAGGGAAGGAGAAAACGGGCAGGGGGAGGTGGCGGAGGAATGGGAAGCGAAGCCTCAAGATGGGCGGAGAGGAGCAGGCGTGGGGGTCACGGAGGAGACCCCACTAGCAGGTGGGACAGGTGGGTGAAGAAACCACACCTTCGCTGGACGCAGTAAAGGCTCTGTGGTGGTCCAGGCTTGCTCAGGCCTGCCGGGAAGCCTTGGTTGCCCCATCGTGTCAATAGTCACAAACTTGTGTGTGACTTGTGTCTTCCACGTGGGCCTGGGCAGTGCGGGGGAAACGCTGGCTGCCTTTTACTGTGGTGTGGGAAAAGTCCCTGCGGCTGTTTGGAGAAACAAACCACTTCACGGATACACCCAGTTCCTTTTCTCTGCAGAAAGAGACTAAAAGTCCTCTCAGCAGCTAGCGGTGCTGGCCTGAGTGCACACAGAAGGGGCTTTTTACAGAACTGAGCAGAAGCCCAGGCCTGAGAAGCTTCGGCCTGGAGTGTGTAGACTTGCCCTGGTGCGTAAGGCTTCCCAGGCAGTTTTAAAAAGCCGCCATGTCTGGGTTGCCTCGTCTGTGATGGAGATAATAGAGGGAAACTGACATCTCATTTTCCTTTTGGTCTGTGTTGTCTTTTGGCAGTTTCTAGTTTAAAGTGAGCCACAAAGCAGCCCATGCACTTCATTTATATGGCTTAGGTGCCCAGGGAGGCTTGAGTAACCTCCAGGAGCCTGTCTTTCCCATCCAGAGACCCAACCTGGAATGAGCCCAGTGCATCCTGGGGGCTGCTCCCCTTGGAGGAGACTCACTTACCCTGCTCAAGAGGTGGCTGCTGGAGGCTTGGCAGTCATATGTGTTCACCACTTGGGCTATTTTTCCCTTCCTTCATGGCTTGGTTGATGAGAGAGTTTCTTCCAGCAGAGAGTTTCTTCCAGCAAAGAGGTTTCCACCTGGATTGACCAGGGGAAAACAGAGCAGAAAAACCTTTTGCTGGGCTATGCTCGACTCCAGTGGCCTGCAGCCTCCTGCTGGGACATTGTGTGGGCAAAGGACTTTTATTTTGGTCCTTTGCTGGACACTCTTCTCTCTCTGTCCCTGATTGTGATCACCAGGACTTGTTTCTTTTGCACACATGTACAAGACACTCGGATTCTCCGTGTGGATTCTAGGTATGTGCTGAAAGCCAAAGGTATGCCTGAGGCCAATGCCAAGGGAGGTGGCCATTGAAGTGTTTGCTTCTCGGATTGTTCCCCAAAGCTCCAAGCAAAATGTTACAGGGTGGGTTCAGACAATTGTTGCAGTTTCCCTGCCTATCAGCTGCAGGGCCCTGCATGGGGTCCTAGACCCGAGGGAGTTTTATAGTCCAGCTTTGGAAGAGGGCTTGAAAAAAGAAAGAAAGAGCTGCCATTCCTAGATCCTGGGAGCAGAGTGGAAGAGAAAAACCCTCTTTTCTGTAAAGGGTTGGGCTCGTGGGCTTGACAATGGAGTGCTTTGTGGATTTAGGAGGCTCAGTGTCTGAAGCCCCAGAGGAGGAAGGCAGTGAGCGTAGGCATTCGGTCATGAGGGTCATTGCTCTGATTTCTGGTTGTCCTGTTACAGCAAGCTGGGTCCTGTCTTCTGGCAGGACATTTTAGGAATTGCGTGCGCTGCCTTGCATCCCTTCAGGAAAGGACTCTACTGGCCACAGCCCCACCTCTGTGAACCAGAACAGCCTGAGTCGTCAGTGGATCCTGCTGCTGACAGTGCTAGTAGCTGAAGGCTTCAGCTGCTGCCTGCCCTCTTTTCCATCTCCTGGCCTACCCTGGCAGAACCAGGGATATAAAAAGCAAGCCTCTGGTCAGAGATGAGAGGCAGGCAGAGCAAGCCAGGCCCCGAGCCACCCAGCACCATCCAGGAAGAAAGAGCAGCCCTGTTGGGGGTTTTGCTTTGCCAGAAGTGGCCTGCTTAAGGTCAGGATCTATGGTTTTCATTTTTAGAGCTATAAAAACAGAATGCAAATCAACAGCCTCTGGGCTAATAAAGAACCTGTCCTTAAAGTTTTTGTCTTGTTAAGCAAGGAAATAGAGTGCCAAATAGGCTTTGTTAAGTGGCAGTCTAATTAATAATTTAAAATCTTGTAGCTGTCTTTCATTAGAATTTATCTGTACATCAACCACAAAATCAGTCAAACACACTCATTTATAAGTTAATGCCATCTTTGAATAATTCAGCAAGAGCTAGATTAAGGTCTGCAGTCCAGTAAGATGCATTTTGTTCTTTTGGTTTCCCTAGCCAGATGGGCTGGCCTGGTGGCTGGATTGGGTCTCCTTTGTGTGAAGAAGGAGGGGAGGCAGAGGGAGGAAGGGACCATGGGGTTGTCAGTGCTTCGTCCATTTGATCCCTGAGGTTCCCTAGGTGACCTGAGAGTCTCCATGTGGCCAGGGGTGAGCAGGCTCCATCTCTTGGAGCTATCCATAACATGGCCCTCTTTAGCTCCGATGGAGAGGAGAAGGGAGGAGTGTTCCACCAACAGCCAAGACACTTCTCTTTCCGCTGCAGAGGAAGTGTAGAGCGGAAATACAAGAGCCCTGCTTGAGAGGGTTGAGATATGAGGCTTTTGTATCCCAAACCCCGGTGCAGAAGTGGAATTTCAGTCTTCCCAGCCTAATTCTGTCCCCGCTCAGGGAAGGCAGCCTGGTGGAACCAATGTCACCAAAACAGCTTCTATCACTGGGAGCCTCTGGGCTGCTTCTTTCCTCAAAGTTCCTCGTCCTTGTGCCGGGAAAGAGAAGCCAGGAGGAGGAATTTTAGGGGAGCACCGGGACACAACCAACAGAAGAAGAGAGGCAGAGCGAGTTGCTAAATAAAGCCCATGCATGCATTTTCTCATCAGGAGCCAGAATAAAAGCAAGGAAAGCAGCGTATTGTTTCCCTTGTGAGCTCAGACCACACGGAAAATGTGTTTTGGTTCGATTCCTGTCATGCCAATACGTGGCCAAATCCTCATTGCAGCTCTCAGGTCCCTTTTTGACAGACAAGCTGTTCCAGACCCAAACTCCGAGCATGGGCACACGGGCTCCTGCACTGCAGGAAGGAATCCCGGAGTTTGTGGTCTCCATCTCGGGCTGCTGCTCCTGAGCCCTCTAGAGGGTTCAAGGGCACTATTTATGGACACCAGGTAGATAACTGGAGCAGACGGTGGACTTGACACCAGCAGAGGTTCTTGGCCAGGTTCGAAAAGGGGAAGTCTTGTTAGGAAGAGGAAGATGCAGGTGTCTGTCCCCTGACCTGTGGCATAGTTGACAGCAGATGAGGCTGAGGAGGGAGGCTTGTGGGGTGAATTCAACTCTGAGCTTTGGAGTCACAGCCTGAAAAAGGACACAGCAGAAGTTCCCTTGCTGGAGATGAGAAGGAGGGGGCAGGCATCATGAAGGATGTCAAGAACGGATCTGTTTGGTACCATCTGCAGCAAAGTAGTGGTTAAGGTTAAAACAGAGAGGAGATGACAGGGAGAGAACAGATGGCCAAGGAAGCAAAATAGCTGGTGAAACGGGAACAGAGCCTCCAGGGACAGCAGAAGGCAGGACCTCCGCGCACAGTGCCGGAAGCAGCCCTTTCTCGGGTGCGCTGGCCAGGCCACCCTGAGTAGAAGTGAGTCGGAGAGAAGAGTGGGACAGGGACTTCAGGGTGAGGGTTTCCTCAAGGCCTGGGAGAAGACCCAGGGAGACATTAGCTCCAAGGTTAAGGGGCCCAGAGCAGGGACTTCCTTGGATGCCTTTGAATTGGGGAGAGGAGGCACGCTGACTTGGTTGGTGTCCATCACCACGGCAAGGCAAAGCCACCTTGGGTCTTAGAGCATGTGTGGTTGAGCCCACTGGGAGGAGGTATGCATGCTGGCTGGAAACAGGGGCAGCAAAGATCCACTTGTGCCCATCCGTGTCCATGCAGCGGCAATAGCTGCTTGTAATTACTGATGGGCCGGGCTAAGTGACGCCACACCTTATGTCACGTGATCTCCATAATCACCCTTTGAGGTCAGTCTGTACTTGCCCCTGCTATACAGATATGGAAACTGAGGCATGACAAATGAAGTCCCTTGTCCTGGGTCACTCAGCTGGCACACTGTTGAGTCAGAATGCAATCCCAGATCTGTCTGCCACCACACTCTTTCACTTGTTCTCTTGACCCCTAAACTCCACTGTCTCACGTGCCCATCTGCCTTGAATTCCTATGACATTTGTTTTGCGGGATGCTGGACACTGATGAATCATTTGTATCTTGTTACAGAGCTCCCTGGTAGTTCCCAGGCACTCCCCTTCTGGTCTACCCCCAGGAGCATCTCCGGCTGGGGCCTGGGGCTCGAGGACCCTGAGTCATTGTCCCACCTGTCCTCTTCTTCCCTGCCCCTCTTTGTATTTGGCCAGATACGCCCTCACCTACTGCCTTCTGCTGTGGTTTCTTCGTGACACAGATGGGACAGTGGGCCAGCACCATCCTGCCTGCTTTCGCGCCCTTGAGAAAGGCCGGGACGTGGTTTATTTGGGGGCTGGATCTTGCCACTATGTTGCTCTTCCTGGCTGACCTCGTAGACCTGTGAACAGCCACCCTCCAGACTGGCTGGTGCTTGTGTGGAGAGCAACGGCCCCAGGATGTGGCTCAGGTGGATGGTAGTGGCAGGTCCCTCCACCTGTATCTGCCCCCCACCTCTGGGGTTCTCCCTCCCTCCTGGGGTGGCACTCCCATGGTCCAGCCCTAGTCTGTTAGCTGGACTGTAATGCAGAGCTCAGAGTGGTCTTCTAGAAGGGACTTCTCCTGCCCCCTTCAGAACATGTTTGAATCCTCTGAGTGAGAGCTCTCATCCACCATGGTGAGGCAAGGTGTCTGATCTCACAGATAGGCTGGTGCTTCCGAGCCTGTGATTATTGTCTAATCAGTCAGCGAAGTTGGGATCCAAAACAGCAAACAGCTCTGCTATCTGATTCAGAAGAGTTGCCCTGGAGGCCTCCGTGTTGGCACAATACCGTGTGTGTGTGTGTGTGTGTGTGTGTGTGTGTGTGCAGAAACACACCTGGCAAGCGTGCAACAAGCTCCGGACGTGTGGGAGCCAGAAGTGTGCTGAGTGCATGTGCCCGACCTACTGGCCCTGGAGCCTATGTCAGCACCTGCACCTTGAGTCCGCCGGTGCCTCGTTGGTGCCGTTGGTGAGCTGGCGAACTGCTCAGTGGGGGACTCCAGGGGTGAGTGGGCCAGTGCTCCGTGCACTGCACGTCGGTGACCAGGCTTGGGGAGCAGGTATGTGGCTCCCCTGCACGGCTGGGGGCGCCAAGTGGCTTCTAGGGGACAGACCTCCGCAGGCCCTGGACCTGGGCCTCTTGGCGGCTCCCTGGGCTGATCCCAGAGGGCTGTGGCAGCATAGTCAGGGTGCGTCCACGGGAAATGGAGGAAGAGCCTTTTTTACGTCAGAGAAAAGCTGGGCTCCCGGCTCTCAGCCCACTGAGGTGGTATGAAAGTTTGCTTCTGCCTCTAAAATTGCCCTCGCAGAGCCTGCCATCTCTCTCCGGGCTCTTGTGCCAACACATAGTGAAGGGGGCCTTTACGTATGCTTGTATAGAGAGATTCATGAGGCCCTGGGGGGAAAATTGGCATTCTTCTCACAATGATTTATTTATAGGGCGATTGGATGATGGGGATATGGAGGCTAAGGTGCCTCCATTAGTGAGAAGCACACAAGGCAGGAAGCCTTGCTCTGTATTTGACATTTAGTGGGGCGACTCCTACCAGGGAGCTGCTTTCTCTTTGAGAAGGTTTTGCCTTTCATGTTCTATTCATGGGCTTGTCTGAGCAGTCTGGGAGAAGGAAGGAGCGTGCAGGGCAGTGGGTTGCCCGGCTGAGGCTGGCCAGCCTAGGGGGCGGCAGGGCCCGGTAGGTCACGCTGTGGCCGATGTGGGGCAGGCTGGGCAGGCCTGACGCTGGGGGCCAGCAGCTCTGTTCCCGCGCCAAGGGCCACCTCGTTGGTATGTGCTGTGCTCAGTGTGTCATTTGGTGTTTCCTCTCCCGTCTGTCTCTATTTTCACCGGCCCCCAGGCTCTGCCTCGAACAGCGGCTCTGTGTGACCCCGGCTTCGGCTTGGCCGTGGCCCTTTTCTTCCTAGGGACTGTGGGGTTGTAGAAAGAATACCAAAGTTGGAGTCCCAGGGCTGTGTTAGGTTCCATCTCTGTGGCTGACTCACTAGGACCCTGGGTACGTTTCTTCCTCCGTTTCCCCATCTGTAACCTGACTAGATTGATGACTTTTCAAGTGTTTTTTGGAAGTAGAGCAGTTTCTTCGAATGATAGCCACTGACAGAGCCCAGAGTATAAAACAGATAAGCGTATGTGGCCCTGATCAGAGCTGGGGACAGGGGCCTCCAGCTCTGGCCTCCCTGCCATCCCAACAGCCCCTCCAGGAGATCAGGGAGTCTCCTGTGGTCCCGTTTGGCAAGGCAGCGCCCACAGGAAGGCCACTGGGTGTGCTGTGTGTTGCGTGTTAACAAAGGGACCCAACACTGCCTGCAGGACCGGAGGCCCAGCGCTCTCCTGCGTGGGAGGGGTTGTTTCCCGCTCTCCTTTTGGACCCGCTGTGACTCTGAGAGGCGCTGTCTACACGTGGTGTCTCCTTGCCCTCACCTCCCTCTTACTCCTCCACCCAGACTTCCGGCTGTGTCCTCTGTCACTCGACTGTGGCTTGATGCTGACCCTACCAGACATTTTCCTGGGCTCATCTGACCTTCTGGTGGCATTTGACTGGGTTGGCCACAGTTTCCCCTTGGCTTCCCTGATGGCAGCTCCCCTGGTCTTTCCCTACTTTGCTCGCCCACAGAGCAGGCTGCTCCTTCTCAGCCTACTTTGCCAACCCCACTACTTCCTGCCATCCTCAAGTGTGGCACCTCCCCAAGCATCGCCCTGGGCGCTGTCTCACCCCCTCTCTCACCTCTGGGGGGACTTCTGCATGCCCATGGCCGCAGCTCCTGCTTGCTAACTCCCGCACATCCATCTCAGCCGAGGTGTTGCTTCTGCTGTCCGGGGCCATCCGTTCCACCGCGCCCACCCCCCTGCGCCCAGCGCTGCTTCCGCTGGCAGCCGCACAGACCCCTCCTACTCAACGTGTTTGAAACTCTCCTCCTACTTCTACCTGAGCTCGCAGCAAACCCACTCCTTCCCCACATACCCCCACCATCTTGGCATCTGGCACCATCAACCTCCCAGGCACCCTCAGCTCAAGAACCGGGCCCACGATGATGACCCCTCTCACCTCACCCCTTCCCATCAGTCCGTCTCAAAGTGCCACCCTTCCCCCCTCAGCAGCCTTCACGCCTGCCCCTCTCCCTGCCTCGACCCTAGCCCAGACTGCCTTCTTCTCCCTGACCTTATGGGCAGCTCCCTGCCACCTCTCTTGCCTTCACCCAATCCAGGTTTTACGCTGTGGCCACATTCTACAATGCCACCTGCTCTCATCCCCTCCCATGCTTAAACACCTTCAGGGATTTCTTTTCCTTCGGGGGATGGTCCAGACTTTTCAGTTGGGCGTCCTATCATTTTCTGTGCTTCCTAGTCATTGTACTCAACCTATTTGATTACAATTGCTTTTACATTATCTGCCCTCCTCATTGGAAGGTAAGTTCAGTGAGGAGACCGGTTACTCTTTACCCCCTGGCCCTCCAGATCTGCTCTCTGTCGCAGGAGGTTGGCCTGTCCAACGTCAGCAATGAGCTCCCACCCTCTCGCTTCCAGTTGGGTTCAACCCATGGTGAGTCACTGTGAGCTCTAATGTCCCTCCATCATCCCCCAAAGATTTTCCCAGAAGCGCAGCCTGAGAAGAGGATTCAAGTTTAAGATGTATGTTTGGGAGGCATCCTAGAAAATGCCAGTAGGCGAGTCGGAA